TAAGGAAGGAATTTAGGATTCCTAAGAATATAATATAATATAATATATATATATATATTATATTATATTATATATTATATTATATTATATTATATATATATTAAATATATCTCTTCTTCGTATCTCCACGATACAACGAGCATTTCTTTCCCCTTGGTATCGTTGATCATTAAAATCCTAAATTGCTAAACGGTGGCCAGTTGCGCTGCGAGTTTCGGCCGACTTGTTCTCGCGCATCCTCGGAGCTTCGTGAGTCATTACGCGGAGGAAAGCTGCGTCGCAAGTGCGCCATTACCGGCTAATGATCCCCTAAACATCTGTCCGTATCGTGGGCTCGTTGCCCGACATTTTTTCGCATTGTTTTGTCCCTTTCGCCGCGCGTCGGGTCGCCGCGATTCCGCCCCATAGACGAGAAACGAGCTTGGCAAAAAAAGGAACGAGCCGACACGAGGACCAGAAGTGCAACAATCGAGATCGAAACGAGGGAACGGGTAGAGAGTAGCAGGGAAACGGCAGATAGCGTGTCGGCGGCAGGAGAGGAAGAAGGGGCGAAGGGGAGACGAGAAATTCGAGAATACCCTGTGGCCGATTGACTCGTCAGCGGACTGCCGCGAGACGATCGACACGCAACCCCTTGGAGCAACTGAGAATTTGCCCCAAAATTTACCTCGTTTATTCTGCAAATTGTCTCTAAATTCGCTCTCTTTCCTCATCACCGAGCACCGTGGCGAAATTGCATCACGGAATTCGGTGATCAGCACGATATTAGGGAACCGCGGTCCGTAATTGCTTAATAGATTTTTCTATTCTCCGATGCGCATCCGAGGAACATTGAATCTACCAATGTTTCAAATTTTATGTTCATTGATTGAGCGAGTTAGAATCACAGTTAAGATTATTAAAAATTAAGTTAGTTAAATTTTGACTTAGGTCTTACAATGTAATCAAAATGTTAAAAAGACAAGTAAAATAAATTATATATTATAAATTACCTTAACTCTGAATTATCTTAACAATAAATTCGGTCAGTGAACAACGCGCATGTTATTAACACTAAACTTACCACCGCCGGATTTCACATTTTTCATTTCATAATTGTTGAAGTCATAAAGCTGCTTCCATTAAAAATTGTCGAAATTAATTAAATATAACAGTGAATAAAATTGTGAAAAGTTTGAATAAATTCTATCTTGTCATTCTTATCGGGCAATTTTTGTCAGTCGCTTTTATATCTCAGTAGATTTAGTGTTAAAACGATAAACACTCCTTGATTCACAGAACGAGGAAAACGCGACTTACGCCACTACGATTCTAACCCACTCAATTACGGAAATTATGATGATGCTTGCAAGCATTTTTGGCGATCGGTAGGTGTGACACCCACAAGAAGCACCGAGGAACAAAAAAACAATTTACCCGCAAAGTTCAATCGTGTCCGGATATGTTGCGAACAATTTTTGGCCCTACGTCGCTCGATCTTCCGGCAATAAATACTGAAAAATTACCAAAATTTTCCGTCCTCGATATTTTCCGCATCACGGAGTCTTACACAGAGGCGATACCTGTCCGATACCAAGCGCTAATTAATCCTTATGAATTGCTGTCTGTAAAACTGGTACGGGATCGAGAAGCTCGTTAAAAAAAAAAAAAAAAGAAACGATGAAAACGATATCCTCCTGCTCGGTCCCCCTTTTTCCTCTTATTCCGCCGAGCTCAATTTAGACTGACGAGCTCGAAAATGTAGACATTAAACTTGAAGGAAAGATCGCATGCCTCGTTTTTTCGCAACACTGCAGTTGTTAACTCGGCAACCGGTTCCATAATGATCGCGATTAGTCGGCCCCGTCGATCCGATTAACACCAATTTGCTGAATAAAAAATATCGGAACGCTGGGCGCGAGGCGTTTGTTCAGAAGCATGACGGCTGCAGGTACCCTAAACAATTGTTACGCGTTTCGTTTGCAGACGCGCTAATGAGAACGGACTACCAACTGTTCTATCCGGGGGCGTTGGGACCCCTGCACATTTCTACGACTTCCGGTAACACCAGCGCGCCATCTTGGAACCCGAGCTTCTACTCGTCCCTGTACCAAGCGACCACGCTGCACTTGCATCACGGAATGCAATCCTTCACGTGAGTGTTCATCAGTTTTCAGGCAGTCCGACGGTATCCTCAAACTTTCGTTTGTTAACTTGAATTTTGTGGAGAGGCACTAGTTCACTGTACAATTACTAAAACGATTTTTTAACAATGCTACCAGTTGGAACGACAGAAAACAATAAGAAATTAGAGACTAGGATCGTGGACCTTGCAATTTAAAAAATTTGTACTTATTTCTCGTGTAATCGGTAAAAGGATATCGTTGATGATTTCGATCAAAAATTGAGCATACGGTTGAACAATAATCCATTCCAAGAGAATGTGCTACCGCTTTCAGCAAAATATATAAAAAAGGTCTTTCCTTTCCCCGATAATCTCGATACGTTAAAATCTGCAGTCGGCCAGCAACGAATTGATTAGAAATTAGCCGTGTCCCGGTGACAACAAACGAACGATAATTAACCGCATCCCGATGGCGACGAGCGAACAAAGACCGACAACGCTAAATGTGAGAACATGTAAAACGCGCAGACTGAGAAAAGGAACATATCGTTTTCAGATCGTTGGACGTGGAGCGTCTGTCGGAGCAGAATGGCGGCACGAGTCAGGTGGAGCTGAAGTCCAGCTCCAGCTCGATGACGGGCAGCGACGATTCCCTGGACAAGAGCGATCTCGACGAGAACACGGAGTCCCAGGACCACTACAAGCCGTTCCAGAACTCGCCGACCATTCTGGAGCTGGGCCAGAAGATCGGGAGCGACCGCAGCGCGTTCGTCAGACATAGCACTTCCGGCTCGTCCGGCAGCTTGGAGAACGAGCAGAGTCCGCCGCCGAACGGCGCCGAGAACTTGAAGACGACGCCCTCGCCGAGGATCGCGGAGACCGGAAACGAGCAGAACTCGATGGCCAAAGAAGCGGCGGCCGAGCCAAGGCCGGCGCAACCTCAGCGGAAGAGGAACCCGTACTCGATAGAGGAGCTGCTGAAGAAGGACGAGACCAAGAGCGGCTCGAAGAGGCCGAAGCTGACGAACATCGGGGTGGTGCAACCCTGCGGAGTCGTCCTCAGCAAAGAGATCTGAAGGGCCAGCGACGCGGACCGACCGGAAGTACTGTAATAGTCTAGCGACAGAGGCTAAGTCGATTATCCAGTTTCGGACGAGTCTTCGGGGATGTCGCGTGGGAACTCTTCGTGGACGGGGTAGTTATCGAGCGCGAGAAACGGAGGATGTATTAGATTGAGCGAACAGTTCGGATATTACTGACGTGTACTTCACTCGCGAAGGAAGTAACTGGACGGCTGAGAAGCCGATCAGCGTTAAGTCCGTTAATCTTAAAATTTAGATGAACGAGGAGTTTGAAAATTAACTGGAAAGAAGATAACAATGCCATTGATAATGCAAAGTAGAATTTCTATTATAAGATGGCATAGAAAAGAGCACTTGACAAGAACAGAAACGAAAGAGATATGTGTACGTTTTCTTTAGAAAGAGAACAAATCCCTCGGAACAATTTTGTTCAGTCGTTCCGTGGTCGATGCACACACACACAGGTGCTGCTATCTATTGTTTATTTATAAGGAAATCGACTGTATTGATTCATCGACCGAGAGATGCTATGATAAAGATGTGTCTGCATTGCGTAACTCGTATTCAAAGAGAAGCGAACTCACACTGATTGACTTCTGAACCGATCCACTATTTCTAAAGGCAGCAATTAAACGATGCTATAATTTGTTTTGTCTTTTTTTTGAACTAGGAGACCTAACTCCTGTTGCTACTGAACAAATAGAAACTAAGAATAGACTGTGAGTTTTCGTGCAAAATAGAGATTTTCTGTTTCAACCGCAAGTAGCCAGATGTACATTATTTATGCAAAATCCGCAGGCTAGTATAATTTGCAACGAGACGGTCATTTCAGTTGGACTTTGTTGGAACTCGCAGTAATGTGATCGAATCCAGAACGGATAGAAAAAGAAGCGAACGAACTTGCTACTCAATCTAGTATAATTCCGCGAGCCGGCAGAGGGAAAAGGCACGACGCAGATTTGTATTTGATGCATACCGTTCGATAGTTCATTGCATAATTTAATTATAATTTTCTATCCTGTGACTTCCGCTGCTTTGGTTACGTCGCTCGCGTAGCGACATCATCGTGTACAAACCGAAAGAAATGTTGTAGAACAGAGTAGCGAAAAATTCGTGCATCAAGGGACTAATAATCGTAAAGCGAGCAGTTTTGTAGTGGGGTGTGTTAATGAAATCCAAAGAAAAATATTTAACGTCGGTTTCACAGTGATTTTTCAACAGTCCGGGCACAGCAATTTCTTTGTTACTTCGTTCGAAATTCCTCCGCTGTGTTCATTGAAATTTCTTCCACCGTTCGTTTATTACAAACAACATGAAGGTATCGAACATAAGAGTCAAATATAAATTGACATCGAGAATGCTGGCAGCGCGTTCCCGCATTTGGTGTCTTCGATCGTTTAAGTTCGACGGAAGGAGTATTTGGTCCTCGCGCGACAAGAACGCACCTCTGTGTTCACATTCCCCCTCCAGCCAACCGCGGCGTTGGGGCAGCTAGCGAGAGGGGGAATATGTAAACACGAAGGTGCCTTCCTGTCGCGCGAGGACTATACTCGAGAGAGAGAGCCTAATTTATTTAAAAGTATTTTCAATCTACCGCAAATCTTCTGCTTGTTTCTGTTAAACTAGAATTCTACGATTTCGTTTGTTCTTCACGATGAATCGAAATTCATATCCGAAGGAGTTTAAGGTTGCGTTCTTGACGACTGCAGGCCCCGAAACGATCAACGCGAAGCGAAGAACGTGACATTTTAACGTAGAAGTGTAGCATAATTTACCAAAAATACAGGAGAACGTAACGGTTCCGTAATTTATAAGGTCACTTTACAACCGAAACTATAATTAGTAACGGCTCTGTCGATGTCCGAGAAACTCGGGAAGAGGGGCGCGATCGCCGCCATCTTGGCGTGAACGTGTGCGGAAAACGCATCGATTTAGGCGGGACGATCGGGCGCCGATCGTCGAACAATACATATTCGACTGTAATATTGTAGGTTACACTCGTAAGTCTGTTAAGCTAATTTATGATTAAATTATTACGTTTGTTTCTCGATATTCGTCGACGCTCTGTCATTGACGCGAGAAGTCATCAAACAACGTGTATCCATAACCGACACGACACGATGATGTACGATAAAGCGTATCGATAACGTAGATATTTTGCGAGTCTATCAGACGGTTTCCGGATCATATAAGATTTTCCCTGCGTTGTATATTCAACCTTTTTTTTCCGTGTGCTGTATGCTGTATCATTTCGTTTTGCGAAACGGAACGACGCCATATTATTCTATTTAATTGTACGATATTTAATTTCGTTAAGTCAACGGAACATTGACGCTCTAATAAAGTAAAACGACTCTAAGCAATCCCGGCGGAACGCTCTCATTTTATTTATTTATTCTTCTTACGCGGTTTGAAACGAACAATGGTAATTCGAGAATGAATCCGAGCTTGAGTGCCATATTTTCGTTCTTGCCGGAACGGTTAGGAAATCTGATCCATCGCAATCGCCAGATGATCATGAAATCGTTGCTCTCCGATTGAACTTTTCCTTCCGACAATTTCGAAGCGTTATTTAACAGTGTCGAACGTACGAACTGCACATGTACATGGCGAAACTATTTCTCTTTGGCGCAACAATCGTCGTGCATTCAAGCTGTAGCTGAAAAGATTCGACGACGATCGTTCTAAAATTTGTACGAGACGATTCGAAACTAAATGAAATTGCCCGATACCTCAGCGTGTGTACAATACAACTTTGTAAATCGTAATTATTATTTGTGATCCGCGCGCTCTCGATCCACCTAATCATTTCGCGAACGACGTTACATACGACGACGATAGAAATAAAAAGTACGTTTAAAAAGCATCAAGCGGACCGGCAACGTCGATCAATCTAGTTTGACATAACCATTGAAGTTAGTTATAAAGTGACCTCAAACATTTCTTAATTTTAATTTCTGCGTATTAACATTGCGGACAACTTCTGCTGTCGTTACTCACAATATTCGCTTAGTGATTGCCGTTTAAATGTGCGCCAGTTGAATATACCGAAATAAATGTGACAGTGTAGAACTTTACATTTTGCATTTTGTATTCGAACGAATCTGCGATCTGCGACTATTTCACTCCTGCGTCGTGCAAGTGGAGAACGATCGAACGGCCGAATCTTGCGACCACATCCAGGAAAGCCGTCGCCTACAACCTTGAACGTTCACTCGACGAGAAGGTATTTCTATGCACAATTAATTCTTTAACTTATTGATTGAACGGAGAAAAATCGGTTTCAGGCCTCGAGGCGGCTGACCGATTCCACTCGCAACTTGACTAAAACATATTTCACGAATCTGATTTCCGAGCTTCAATTTTAGTTCAACGAACAAGACACGCACAGTCCAATCAAATTTATCTTCTGCCTCCATTCGATTTACTTTACAATTTCGTGAAGCGTTTCCGATTACGATTATTCCTGCGATTGTCCCCTTATATTTCGAACAAATATGACGATCCATATCGTAGTTGCGACACGAGGTTCTTTTGAACGTCTGTTTCGCAAGGACCTCAGAAAATGGCCATTTTCTGTGCAATCTTCAGCATCGGATGCGCAACCAGGACTAAGGACGAACAATTTGCATTCGTGCAAGCAACATGAAAGACTGTTGGTAGATAGATTTGATTATTAGGTAAAGGTTGCTGCCGACGGAAAACAACAAGGAAAGATTGCTGCAGCGTCATAAATGAAGAAAAATTCGTGGGGCGCATTAAAACAAGAGCCATGCTCGTTAGAAAGCACGATTAGCTCGTAACTCGGGACGAAAGTATGCCAAGCTCCGCCGCGCTATTCCGAGGCAATTAAACGAAAGCCTAATAAAGCGACGGCAATAAAGCACGCCTCGGCGGCGACGAACGCCGCCGCTTTCGAACGCGGTAACGCCATAAACGGTTTGCGGTCCACGTGGGACACGCGTGTCCACGCACCAGCGATGGGACCAAGTTCTGGATGCGCGAAAACACAAATGTTTGCAACTGGAAGATATCTATTCGAAATAAATATTTATTCAAAATATTCACTACGACTCCGTCGAACCGACGAGCTAACGAGACAACTGCTGTAGTTATAAAACTTCTATACGTCGTTCCGTTACAAGATGTCCTAAAATTATGTTATTTTCGGGAAATGAGAGATTCCTGAGATCATTCGAAGTAACTTTTCCCTTGGCGCAAATGCGATCCGCGGCTTTGTTTACGAGTTATTAACGAAAAACAGTGACCAATCAGAAGCGAGATCAGCTGGCGCGAGGCGGCCGAGCCAATCAGCGGAACTGGGCTTCGTCCGCTCGTTAGCTCGATCGCCTCGCGCGCAGCATAGCTCGTCTCTCATTGGTCAGTGTTTTCCGTTAATAACTCGTAAACAAAGCCGCGGATCGCATTTTCGCTAAGGGAAAAGTTATTTCAAATAACCTCAGAAATCCCTCATTTCGCGGATGTAACATAATTTTCGGACACTCTGTATAATAAAAAAAAATAAGTAAAATGTATAGAAATGCAAATGAAACGGTTCAATGAGAGTTAGTTTATAATAATCCTCTAAAAGTGGACAATCCGTGCTTTTCAAGAAGAATCGCACACCTCTTTTAAAGAAGAATAAATACATTCAAACGTTCCGATGTAACCGTTACGACTTACAAACACNCACGAATCTGATTTCCGAGCTTCAATTTTAGTTCAACGAACAAGACACGCACAGTCCAATCAAATTTATCTTCTGCCTCCATTCGATTTACTTTACAATTTCGTGAAGCGTTTCCGATTACGATTATTCCTGCGATTGTCCCCTTATATTTCGAACAAATATGACGATCCATATCGTAGTTGCGACACGAGGTTCTTTTGAACGTCTGTTTCGCAAGGACCTCAGAAAATGGCCATTTTCTGTGCAATCTTCAGCATCGGATGCGCAACCAGGACTAAGGACGAACAATTTGCATTCGTGCAAGCAACATGAAAGACTGTTGGTAGATAGATTTGATTATTAGGTAAAGGTTGCTGCCGACGGAAAACAACAAGGAAAGATTGCTGCAGCGTCATAAATGAAGAAAAATTCGTGGGGCGCATTAAAACAAGAGCCATGCTCGTTAGAAAGCACGATTAGCTCGTAACTCGGGACGAAAGTATGCCAAGCTCCGCCGCGCTATTCCGAGGCAATTAAACGAAAGCCTAATAAAGCGACGGCAATAAAGCACGCCTCGGCGGCGACGAACGCCGCCGCTTTCGAACGCGGTAACGCCATAAACGGTTTGCGGTCCACGTGGGACACGCGTGTCCACGCACCAGCGATGGGACCAAGTTCTGGATGCGCGAAAACACAAATGTTTGCAACTGGAAGATATCTATTCGAAATAAATATTTATTCAAAATATTCACTACGACTCCGTCGAACCGACGAGCTAACGAGACAACTGCTGTAGTTATAAAACTTCTATACGTCGTTCCGTTACAAGATGTCCTAAAATTATGTTATTTTCGGGAAATGAGAGATTCCTGAGATCATTCGAAGTAACTTTTCCCTTGGCGCAAATGCGATCCGCGGCTTTGTTTACGAGTTATTAACGAAAAACAGTGACCAATCAGAAGCGAGATCAGCTGGCGCGAGGCGGCCGAGCCAATCAGCGGAACTGGGCTTCGTCCGCTCGTTAGCTCGATCGCCTCGCGCGCAGCATAGCTCGTCTCTCATTGGTCAGTGTTTTCCGTTAATAACTCGTAAACAAAGCCGCGGATCGCATTTTCGCTAAGGGAAAAGTTATTTCAAATAACCTCAGAAATCCCTCATTTCGCGGATGTAACATAATTTTCGGACACTCTGTATAATAAAAAAAAATAAGTAAAATGTATAGAAATGCAAATGAAACGGTTCAATGAGAGTTAGTTTATAATAATCCTCTAAAAGTGGACAATCCGTGCTTTTCAAGAAGAATCGCACACCTCTTTTAAAGAAGAATAAATACATTCAAACGTTCCGATGTAACCGTTACGACTTACAAACACACAAATACAATTACGAAGTAATTACAGCACCATTAATTTTCGATTTACGTAGACAAGAAATTTCTCGGTCCAAGCCCGTGCTTGCGACGCACTTGATGCCATCGCTACCGTGCATCTCCGTACTGCTCATCGAAATGTCGGTCGGTGTTAAAACGAAGAGGGAATTAAATAGCGGATCCTCGCGGCACGAGCGAGCCAGCCAGCCCCCTTCCCCGCCGCACCGTTTTGCATTTACAACGTTGTAAAAACTTTTTATCCGCCTCCTCATCGCGGACTAATTAATGCACTATAAAACGCTAACACCGCGACGTCCGACGATTTATCCAAGGTGGTGGTGCATCCTCCAATCGAGCTATACTCACCGACATCGCGAGCATAAATATGAGTATGGCGAGGTATGAATTTTGCAAGAAGGAAAATTGCGCGAACGTCGGTGCAAAATTTCTACCGTTCGGCGAAGAATTTTTGGACTTGGACTATACTGAATTATTCTATTGAATGCAGTGGAAAAGTTGTTTAGAGGACACATTCTCTGACATTGTCTCTCAGTTTGGAAACGAAAATGCCGATTAATCGACAAAAAAAAAAGAAAATGAACAATTTGGGAAGAGGAGACACTATTATTGAAGCCTTGTGGCTCGTTTTTATAGCCGTTGGCAAATCGGCATATATAAACTATGATATAAACTATCGACTATACAAACGAGTCGCGAGGCACGAATAATCGTATCTCCTGTTCTCAAGTTGTCCATTTCTGTTTCCAAGCTGAGAGAAATTACTGTAATCCTACATGTCGTTGGTCAAATCCTTTGAGATTTCTAACGCAGTGGATGAATTATGTGCTTCACAAATTATTTTATTTTTACACATCTAAAATATTATCTCTGGTTTTTTGTATATGCAATGTTTCCTTTTTGGAAGCGAAAATCTTCGTCGGCATAACGTGCAAACGAATGAGTTTCTAATGAAAAGTGTAGATAATTAACGTTTAAATACTGTTAATTATATAATATAATAAATATATATATAATAAATATATAATATCATATTACTGTGTAATATGTACTGCAAAGATTTGCAACTTGTAAGGAACAAACGCTGTTTCATAGAAACTCTGAATGTGTAAAAAATAGCGAGACTTAGTTGTCTCCAACAGTTTGTCAGGCGGAATATACATACATTCCATTACATGTGCTTTCAATACTAATTCAATTACTCGACTTTATTAGTCGATAATAAATAAAATTAGTCGATACATAAACTGCATGATTAGAAAGTAAACGTTTTAACATAAAATATGCAATTTTCAAACATATCTTGTAAATTTAAAAATTTGCGTTTTACAGCAACGTAAAATGCAACAATATTTGAATGGTAGCGCCATCTAGATAATTAAAACTAGTTGAACATTTCACCACAGATAGCGCCATTATCTTATTGTCGATTTCTAATAATTTTTTATTACCACAGACGAGGTATAGGGGTAGATTTTCCTGTCTCACGTATTTGGAGTCATAGTTGCCTAAATATACCACTTTGTTGTCGAATATTGTACATATCGTGTACATATTTCTATTACGAGTGTTTAATGTTGTTGGAGTCAGTAAATGTATATGGCGCGCCTATTTGAAAGAATATTACTTTCGGAATGCGATGCTACAGAAATACAGTTTGATAACTCCATGAGCATAAATACCTTATCTATACATTTGTTTACCTTATATCTATGCAATTATTTCTATTAATTGCAATATTGCAGAAAATATACTAAAAAAATGTGATTACTATCGTGCATTTGGGATGATTAGATTGCTGTGGATTAAATATAATTATATGATAAATAACAATCTATATTTTTCAATATACAGAGGTAGCTTTAATCAATTTTAAAACTTGATTCCAAAGAATATGTATCCAATCTTATATTTTAGACAATCGAGCAGCGCAACCGAGAGAGCTTAGATCAAGTTTAAAATAATTTATTAAATACATGACACGTTTATCTTTTTTTATTTTTATCTTTCACCTATTAAAGTCTGACCACAAAAATAATCAAAAGACAAAAATATATAAGCACTTACAACTAGAGGAGGACCGTGCCTGATTGAACCGCATCTGATTCATGGTATATACATACATACGTAGAAGGGAAAGCGTAAAGTTTCATTCCAGCAAGCCTGCATTTCAGTAGTATCAACTTAAAGAACAACGTAGGCTGCGTTCATGTAAAGTTCTGCATACAACTTCAGAACTTAACCTGAAAACTAGAATGGACGATACAATTTAAACATTTATATTGTTATATCCGTTCATTTTGATTGTTCGTTATGTCTCTACTTCGTAAAGGCCAGGTTTGAAATTTTGTTTATTATATATAATAAACTTTGTTTATTATATATTATTATATATTTATTATATATATTATTCATATTTAGTTAACAGTTATTATAGACTGTTGAAATAATTTTATCAAGCCTATTGATAATTTCAATTTTAGCAATGGGGTACTTTTGCGCGCATTTGGCACATATACGATGCAACTTGGCAAAATCCATTTAAAAGTGCTGAAGTGATTCAAAGATATCTTAAGGGTTTGTACAAACCTATATACCATCCTCTGAGTAAGTATTATTAGTTACATACAATTTTAATTGAATGAAATTTTAAATTCAATTATAATTCGACTTTTAGTACTGTATACTTTATCATCAATTTGTACACAGATGACTGCGGGGATCATGTAATAGTAATAAATAGCAAAATGATTGCTTTGCCTGGAGATGAATGGCAAAAACGTGTGTATTTTCATCATACAGGGTATCATGGAGGTGCGACTTGGACACTCGCGTGGGAATTGCACAAAGCAAATCCAGCAATGGTATCTAATCATTAATCATTAGATCTTAATATATCTTAGATGAAGTAACATTATTCCTTTCCAATGCATAGATCATGATAAAAGCAGTTTACAGTTCCATGCATGGAAATTTACAAAGAAGATATACAATGCAAAGATTGCACGTTTTCCCAGATTCAAATGTACCTGAAGACATGCTGAAAAATGTCACTCATCAAATTGAGCAACTGAAACCAGTGCCAGTAAAACTGAGAGATGTACCTAAAGAAGAAAGAGAGAACTTCCCAAGGCTCATAAAATATCCAATGGACTATGAGCTTAAATAAACAAATAAATGTATATAGGACAAACATCTTTTTACTTAATGCTGCAGCATTTACATAATCAAGTAGCAAATGAACTGAAAAAGAAATAAATCATTGTATAGCGAATTTATTTACTTATACATATAATTACATGGGTATATTAATTATCTGTTAAAAGTAGTTGCCCTTTTGGTTTTAATTTCCTATTCAGTATCTCCTGTTTTCTTTCTTCCTTTTCTTTTAACAATTTACTATGCCTTTCAACTGCGTAATCAACTTCACCAACCAACTTTTCAACCCGTTTCTATAAACATAACATTTCATCAATATTACTGATACTTCTGATTTAACGTAAGTATAATCGAAATATATACCATGTAGTTTTGATGTTTTAATATACGCTTCAACTGGTTAGATCCGTAAGGACTAGGTCTATTATCTCTATAAGAAAAATCCGGCAGAGTAATCAGAGGACCGTACACATTTGGATTAGCAGGTAAACCTTTCCTGCAAGTGATATTATAATCAGTTCTTCAATTACTCAAGAAATTTTGTAAAATTACATACTTTTCTCTCCGGCGCTGGTCCAAATATTGTGCCGAAGATAAGTGAAAACCATTGGTGATGGAAGCGAAATCTGTAAAATTGAAGAATGAAGTTATTTTTATTTAAGAAACAGATCGGCTGTGACTATTGTAACACACATTAATTGCTAAAAATAGTATTTATAAAGTAAGAATCTATTTACTGACTTGTATTGCGACCAACGTGCAACAGTGACATTATTTTCATTGTTGTCGTCATGTTATTTAAACAAAATATACAACTGGTTGTTTAGAGTCTAATTTTAGATAACCAAAATCTTTATTTACAACTGTCTCAACATCAGAACATTAAATGCATCGATAAATAATATAATGTAGTTATCCATCCATGATGTCCAAAGAAATATCAGATCAGACTGTATCAAACACCTTTTAATTTCTGATTGGTAACAATTGCTGCCAATAGAAAAGACTAACAAGTTTCGTATAAAATTGTGCAACATATCTGCATGTAAAGAATGTAATGAAAAACACGAATGAAATTATTTTTTGATATGTAATACAATACCTGCTATAATAATTAATATTTATAATAATAAAAATTTCGAAACACGAATACATATTTAAGGGGTCTTTATAGATGGCATTGTTGGCATACTCTTCGCAGAACAGAAACTCCGATCAGACTCAATGTTCTGATACAATCAAAGCAACCCCTTATTATCTAATGACTAATGTATTAAACAATATTTTAAGAGCTGTTTGTAAATAATCATTTGTGTAAATATGCACATAATGAACAGCCGCAGTGAAATAATAGTGCATCACTTATGTTGTCTTTCTTAACAACTCATCGAATTCAAAAGAATTACAAATACATAATAGCATTGCTATTGATACTTTTAAAATATCCAAACAAAAATGTACGTATTTTTTGAGAGCCTCGAACAAAGTTTTCATCATTTTACTTTGTTAGATTAATAAATTAGAATTTATTTATACAATGTAAAATTCTATAACATATTTTATATTCGTAGATGTTTAATCCTGTACAAATAAAACATGAATATATAAGTATAGAAGATGTCAATGTTAATAACAGAATTAATGTATCATTGGATAACTCCTCGTATCCATTGTTCAATGGTGCAGGTGTTGAGTACAAATACAATCAATTACCACAATTCTGGAGTCATGCACAGCTGTCCAACGAGATACAATCGAAGACTGAAATCCATGGACAACAAAATTTATTTCAAATGGAAGTGGGTTTTATTATTTTACTTTATAAAGTATATATTGATTTCTGAAATTGGAGCTCTTACTATTGTTTGAATAGCCAAATTAGGGTACATGTATTCAAATATATATAGATAATCGGGTACTTATTTAGTCAGAGTAATCAAATATACCTAAGTACTTGGATGCTTATTCAATATAAATATTAATACTCCACAAGCTTTAGCCTGACCTTACAAATTAACCAGCATATTTTTTTGTTTATTATTCAATCAAAATATTTATTATATATTTGAATTAAAATTAAGGTGAGCAAATTTAAAGAATGGCAAGCAAATTTACTCGAGTACTGATATTTGGATAATATGAGCTTTAGTTGAAACCTAAAATTCATGAACTTTGGAGTTATTCAGATATTGACAAGTCATACCATGATATACCATTGAATATTTGTAAATGTTTCAGGAAAATGATCCCGCAGCATACATGAAAGACTACATGCAAAACGGTATGATGTTCCACACAAATCAGGAAATCAATGCGAATCAGAATCATACGACTCAACGATATCATGTAAATCCTATTCGGAAACCCGAACAGCCACAGATTTCCCAAGAATCGCAACTACCGAAACATGTAAATCAAATAATAACTGTTTCCGAACCGGTGTCTTCGATAAAATCTAACCGTCCTGGAAGACCACCGAAAACCTCTTCCGAATTGAGTGTAGGGAAAAAATTTAAATGCCAATGTGAAATATGTTTCAAAGAATTCGGACACAAAAGTAATTTGTTCATACACATGAGGACTCATAACGGAGAACGACCTTATAAATGCAGTCAATGCGAGAAGTGTTTTACTCATAGTGGGAATTTGGCAATCCATATGAGAACGCATTCCGGTGAACGACCTTATGGTTGTCAGATATGTGGGAAAATGTTTAGTCACAGTGGAAATTTATCGACGCATTTAAGAACTCATTCGGGAGTCAAACCATATAAATGTAGTATTTGTGGTAAGGAATTCAGGCACAGTGGAAATTTATCCATACACGAAAGGATACATTCCGGAATAAAGCCATTTCAATGTAAAGTTTGTGGAAAGGATTTTTATCACAGTGGAAATTTAACAACTCATATGAAGAAACATACCATAGGTACTTATGCTAGTGTTAATCAGTGCGAGACTAATGAAGATTCGGCAATGCCAACTACAGTAAACTTTAATGATGCTGCATCCTTAAATGCATTTGCAAATAACGTACCGTTAAATTCATCTACCAATATAAAAGTGATATCTAATGCAAACAACATTGTTCCTATAAAACACGAAAGTAACGACGAAAGATTAACGAACGGTGTTGAAATATTAACATCAACTTAAGCATGTATGAAATATACAGAATTAATCAACGATCGTAGTCATAAGAATGTCTACAAATGTATAAACATATATTTTTGGAATTACGTATAATTTCATTGGCGATATTGCAGAATATGTGCAATGTACAGGACACGTGCAATTTCAGATAACATTTGTAATGAATTTTTTGTTATAACATAAAACTATACAATTNAACTCATTCGGGAGTCAAACCATATAAATGTAGTATTTGTGGTAAGGAATTCAGGCACAGTGGAAATTTATCCATACACGAAAGGATACATTCCGGAATAAAGCCATTTCAATGTAAAGTTTGTGGAAAGGATTTTTATCACAGTGGAAATTTAACAACTCATATGAAGAAACATACCATAGGTACTTATGCTAGTGTTAATCAGTGCGAGACTAATGAAGATTCGGCAATGCCAACTACAGTAAACTTTAATGATGCTGCATCCTTAAATGCATTTGCAAATAACGTACCGTTAAATTCATCTACCAATATAAAAGTGATATCTAATGCAAACAACATTGTTCCTATAAAACACGAAAGTAACGACGAAAGATTAACGAACGGTGTTGAAATATTAACATCAACTTAAGCATGTATGAAATATACAGAATTAATCAACGATCGTAGTCATAAGAATGTCTACAAATGTATAAACATATATTTTTGGAATTACGTATAATTTCATTGGCGATATTGCAGAATATGTGCAATGTACAGGACACGTGCAATTTCAGATAACATTTGTAATGAATTTTTTGTTATAACATGTAACTATACAATTGTATACCAAGCATAGTTTTCTATTTCAGATATTTTATTTACTCAATTTGCTAAAACGTTTTATGATTAGTTTCCATTTTATTGCGAACTATTTATTAACAAATAATTACTTTATTATACAACTGCATATGCTTTAAATAAATTTGTATATATCAATGATTCGTTAACATATTTATTCTGCTCATAAAATACATAACAATTCTTTTATATGCGTCCAATTACAAATAATATTTTTTGTCATAATTGAACC